CTTACTTAGCCGGAAGATCGATTCGAGCCTGTGCAGCACATGAAGGTGAACCATGTGCATGTAGAGCGACAAATGGGTCACATTCATCCAGGACAATTGTAAGATGCTGAAGAAAACAATGTATTTCAAATGGCAAAAGAGAAGAATAATGGGAGTTGCTGACCCTATCGTAGTACTTCAATAGTACAGTATGCCACTCGCCATCGTTCACGCGATTTTTCCGTTCGTTTTCCATTCGTACTAGTTTTGGCTTGCCACCAAGTGAAAACTCGGCTTGAAGTACTCGGTCGTGAATGGAGATTTCTACGAAGTCCGAATTACGGTCGCCGGAAAACAACACCACTCCATCGCGTGCAATTGTAGCAAGCCTGAAATAGGCAAAAGTGCTTTGAAAGCATACCCAATCCCGCATATTAGGTACAGCATTGATTAGTATAAGAGAAAAATTTTTGTTCAAGCGTCGATTTCAACAGTTCAATCGCACTTGTTCTCAATAAAAACTGTAAGCGATTTAGTTCAATTTCTTCTCAAATTCTTGTATTTTGCAGTTCACCAATAGAGAATTGTCTATTGAACAGGAGGACAATCTTGCACACCTGAAGCTAAGTTCCCATTCCAGTCTGCTCAGCGCCTTGTTGATGTTCACTAGTCCTCGTCCTTCAAAACCCAAAGAACGAAGCCTGCATCGTTCGTCGGCATCGGTAGATGAGTAGCGACAGTGTTTGCACAACATTCCAAGTCCAACCAGCTCACATACAGATCCTTCTTTGCAGTATCCTGGGATGCAGGTCAAGGAATTAAATGCGATTTCGCATTGTTCGCCTGTAATTAATCATCGTTACGAAACGAGCCGTTAAAAACGTGTATATTCCTCCCCTCCAACACAATACAATTTTGTTTTTGCCATATGTTTAAGGGATTAATCCGCAATCCCTCGCGTACAATCTGTTTTCCGAAAATCTATGCATTCAGTCTATTTCCGTGTCGAGTAGTGCTGATCATTATAGGCTGTAATTAACCCTGAGAGGGTCAGTGGAATTGGCTTCCAGATGGGGAGCGAACAAAGTAGAGAGTGGATGAATGCAAGAGAGTAGGGTCAGAGTTCCCGTTATGGGATGTTTCCTTCCTGCTTGCGGTTAAACAGCCTAAACTA